AGCAGAGAACTAGTTTTCATTAGAAAATCTATGAGAACCTCTTTAGAGACTCATTTCACATTTGTCAAAATTTTATTGATTTTATTTGTTTTCTTATAATTTTAAATTTTAAATAATAAAAAAGTTATATTAAAAGTAGTATAATAATATATTTGAGAACTCTATGAGTCTCTACCACTGTGGAGTCTAAGGAGTTTCATATATATTTTTCGAGAAAGTTTGATCTTTGAAATAGGGATATTACCACTTCAATTTTTTATTTTTCTTACATATTAATAATATATATATATATATAGTTGTTAGTTTTTGGGGATAAATTGTTATTATAGAGTTGTTATTTTTTATCTCCAGCTAGCCTGCAGGCTTTTTATTGGTTTTTGGAAATAAAACCAGTTTCTGCTTACGAACAGTAGTTTTCAACCTCGTACCAACACTGTTCAATGTCTGTGTTTGCGTGAACATAATTAGGTATTTCAATATTCATCATGTACTTTTGTAGAAACCTACACACATATATTGATATATATATATATATATATATATATACAAGTAAATTATTTTATTTTTTCTGTCTATAGAATGATAGATAATTTCCTTGTTCTAAAAATCCCCGCCTAGCTCCGATTACTCCCCGCTTAATCGCTAGGCCCACCCTATCCGCCTCGATTAATGACTAATCCCCTAAAAAATCAGTAACCCGATTATTCTCCGTCTAATCCGATTACTTTCCGCCTAATCTTATATACCCCGATTATTTTTTAGATTGCAAGTATAAAAAAACCTTTTATTTTTGTTATTCAATCATTTGAATGGGGAGTTTGTGATATTTTACAATAACTTGTGTTCAAATTTTAATAAAAATCATAAATTTTTACAATATTAGAATAATATATTTTAAAAATATTAAAATAACCCTAAAACTAATCCCCGATTTTAATCCGATTTTCCGATTAATCGCTAGGCCCATGCCGAGCGCCCGACTAGCGCCTAGCGATTTTTCAAACAAGGGATAATTTAGCTTATAAATTTGTTTTTCCTTGGTTAGAGAAACCCTAGAGGGTACGTGCTTTGATCCAAGAACTTGGATTTGACATCTCCGATTCTTTTAAACTAAATTAAGCGAGAAAGTTCGCAACTTAGCGCGTTTACTTAACGCGTATCTCTAGCTACGGCATTACGTCATTAGCCCCTCTACTTACTTTTGGCCTTTAACCATTACGGAGAGTTCAACTTTTGGCTTTTACTTATATATTTTTGAATCAGAAACGAGTTCCAATCAAATAGTAGTAAAATTTGGAACATTTTTGTATTGTAATCGGTTAAACTGATGACTAATTAGAATTACAGGTTATTATGTTTTAGAAAGTGGTAGACCGGTACTCAACTTGCAACTATAGTTTCCCACCACCTGAAGAAAAACAATAACCAGTAACGATGTTGCAGATATCACATCAATATTTTATATTCTTACACCATTTTGTATTACTTTTACTATACGCTAAAATATATGCACCAGTATATTTCACTTAAATTAGAGTATAAATTAATCTCAGACGATAGTCAATCAATAATAATGAATTTTGGTTGTCTTAAAGGACCCATTGAATTTATTTATTTATTGATTTTGTAGATTACTAGATTCTGTGAAACTATATAAAATTATCTTTGTATTGTATTTCAATTACTTTATGGTGAATTATCTTATAATATGAAATTGAAACGATCGGTGTTGATTCGGTTAGTATTTAACAACTTCAATATTACATGGTCAAGAAATAATATAGAAACTACTTTATAATATATCTACCGACACAAATATACATGTTTATAGGTTTATGCATATATTATACGTGTGTAAAATATGGTTACCTACCTTGTTAAACATATTTAGGATGGCATTGGATGTGGCTAATTTAATAACTTAAAGACCCACTTACTTCAAATATCTTTGTAAAAGAAAGTTTTATGTGCCTAGACAATGCAACTGGATAAGGAACTATATGCCACAAACATCCTTAAAATATAATATAGAAAATATTGAATATACATAAACATACATAAAATAAATGTATATTATATATATGGCTTTGTCAGACATCACACTACGTTCGTTCCAAAAGTCGTCATTGCCAATAGGTTGTTCCTTTTAATTTTAGTGGTTACAAATAAATCAACCTATCAAGTTATTTAAATAATATGTTAGATACTATAATTTAAATAATGGAAGCGACTCATACACATATATACTAATTTATATTATTACTGTATACGTAAAACTGAATTAACAACTTTTTCACTGAAAAGCAAGCCCTTTTGATTATATATAAGTGACTAAGTCATAATGTGAAACAATTATAAATTCTAAAGGTTTAAAAGATCTAAAAACTTTTGCACGTGGAATGTGCTATTTACCCTAAAATATCGAAGCCAACTAAACAATTTAATGAGTTATAAAGACACAGGTTCTTTGATTTGACGGTAATCATTATGTCATAGAAACTGTTCCATAAATTTCATACTATACTATGCATTTAGAAATCAGATAATGTAGAGTAAAAAATAAATAATACTATTTCGAAATTAAGCAGCTCCAAGTGTTGCTATGGTGTCAAAATTGGTTGTTTCAATTGAGTCTTGACGGTTTTTAACACGATATATGATGTAGCATTGTCTAGCCGATCCTTTACATATGTAAACAGAAAATTTCTTGGACCTCTTGGTTGTCTTGAAAAAATCTTATGAACTGGATGCCAAAATACTAAATATCGTAAACCAAAACAAAATCAAGTAAGTTGCAATATTATTCACTGGAAAATCGTAGACTCGTATAATGAAACACTAATTATAGATGTTTTCAATATTTCTGTTTTGTTTTTCAAATTGACAACAACACTTGGAAACCGATAATGATGAAACTTTTAAAAAAAGAAAAACAAAGTTGGTTTCAAACATATCGTAGTCAACATACAAAAAAGGTTGAAGTCATTTGTAAGATTAAAAAAAAACAGAACAAAATCTAGACCAAATGATTCACATGGCAAGAAATTTAAGTAATTTCTGATGTAAACGCCTTCACTAAATTGAGCTCAATTATCATATTTATTTTTTCTTGAGCTTTATTTAATTCATACATGCATGATGCATCTATATAAGGAAATAAAAAAATACTTTCTCTGTTTTATAAAGAATGATTTTTGAGGTTTTATTTTTGTATTAAAAAGATTAATTTTCTGAAAACTTTTATCAATTAATGTTAATAAATTAAGAATTTCAAAAATCATTAATTGAGAATTTTAAAATTTGATGAATTACTATTGGTTAATAGTTATGAGAAATGATTTAGTGTGAATAAATAATGTATTTATAACTAAACATTAAAATGGGGTGAAAACTTTACAAAATCAATCTTTTATACTGAGGAGTATAATTGTAAAACGTAAATTTAAATAATGTATTGAATGTAACAACATTAATAAAGGCACGAAATTATTGGTTTGAAATGATTAGATCCAACTAATTTCCAACCAAAGACGGTCAAAGCCAAATAAAAATGCTTAGCTCTCCATGAGCCCCAAGAGAAACCCATCCAAATTGGTTCAGACAATCGTGGACCCCACGCGCCGCTTCCCTCCTCTCCCCACTTGGTATTCCCTCTCTCTCTCTAATTAATTTTAACTTTGATTAGTTTTGGTCAACTTTATAGTTAACCATGGTTAACTAATAAAATATTTATTTTGTTTCCAAGATTAATTTATGAATAAGTGATTATATGTGTTAGCCTAAGTTTTTTTCTTCAAAATATAGCTTATGTACATTTTTTTTTTCTTGCAAGGCTTACATCTTAATTTAGGAAACTGATATGATTGGTATATATAAGGCCTGAGTATACATAATATTAATTAAGGTTAAATAAATTAAGGCAAGGCAATGATGGTGGAGAATGTTTTGAAAGACAGAAAAGAGGAAGCATCTTAATGAAACCCACAAGATAACCCCAACCACATATTATCATGATGGCTTCATTCATCTTAATTAAACTTTAAACTTTCATTTTCTCCAAATATTTTAACTTATTATACCAATTAGATCACACCCACTCACACACATCTCCTTCCCAACTTCCGACGCTCCTATTATGCGCGTGGATACTACTTCCGTTAAGCTACTTAATACCATTCATAATGTATCGCCAACTTTGGAACTTTGTATTTTATCTGGCTAAACCAATAACAACTAGTATGAGATAAGTTTATCTGTTTTGAATGGGGGTTTATATGTGAACAAAATAAGCGAACTCATACCTTGGAATTATTAATAATATACTTTTCTAATCTATAAACATATACAAACATGTGACAAACAAGTTTTTTTTTTTCCAATAGTTATCGACTGAAATACTAAAATATAATAGTTTTATTTTATTATAGATGTACTATATAAGTTTTTTTTGGCAAATACTATATAAGTTATAAACATAGCAAAAAAAAAACACAAACACAAACAGTGAAACCTAATACTCCCTCTGTTCCTAGTTATTTGATGTTTTGAGTTTTTTACTTGTTCCACCAAGATTGATGTTTTCTAAAAATATCATTATTATTTTTGTTTGTGACCAATAGTAGAAGGAGGGAAGTAAAACTAATATTATTAAACTAACAAAATAATAATTAAAAAAATATAAAAGTTACTTTTTCTTAATTTGTGTGTAAAACTAAAACATCATTATTTTAGGAACAGAGGGAGTATGTGTTTGCTTATGGCAGTCGCGTATATTTCACGCTCTTGTTTTTGGAGAAGAAGAAGAAGAGTGGAGTTTATTGTCGAGTCCAAAACACACAAAACGACATAAAACTCAACGAGAAAAAAAATTTGAATTGAAGTCGATACCAAAACGAAAATTTTATCAATATCTATTTTGTAAGAGTTTAGGTTAGACAAGTGACTGCATTTACATACATATATCTATATATACACAATCATTTTTTCTTCTTCATTAATGCTTTATTTTAGTCTCACCTTCTCCTTCTACTTTTTATCATTTCCCTTTCTCTTCCCATTTTAGTCTTCCTATAACTTCTTCTCAATCCTCTCTCATATCTTTTTTCTTAGTTTAAATTTCAATAAAATAGAAGAAAAAAAAACATATACAAATCTACAGAGAAGAGAAGCTTTATTTTAATCTTGTTGTGTGTTTTATATAATTTTTATTTTTTTTCAAATTAAAATCTCTTCTTTGCTTTTGATGTGGGTATGGCTGGTCTTGATCTAGGCACAGCTTTTCGTTACGTTAATCATCAGCTCCATCGTCCCGATCTCCACCTTCACCACAATTCTTCTTCCGATGACGTCACTCCCGGAGCTGGGATGGGTCATTTCACCGTCGACGACGAAGACAACAACAACAACAACAACCATCAAGGTCTTGACTTAGCCTCTGGTGGAGGATCAGGAAGCTCTGGAGGAGGAGGAGGTCACGGCGGCGGAGGAGACGTCGTTGGTCGTCGTCCACGTGGCAGACCACCGGGATCGAAGAACAAACCGAAACCTCCGGTGATTATCACGCGCGAGAGCGCAAACACTCTTAGAGCTCACATTCTTGAAGTAACAAACGGCTGCGACGTTTTCGACTGCGTTGCGACTTATGCTCGTCGGAGGCAGCGAGGGATCTGCGTTCTGAGCGGTAGCGGGACGGTCACGAACGTCAGCATACGTCAGCCATCTGCGGCTGGAGCGGTTGTGACGCTACAAGGAACGTTCGAGATTCTTTCTCTCTCCGGGTCGTTTCTTCCTCCTCCGGCTCCTCCCGGAGCAACTAGTTTGACAATTTTCTTAGCCGGAGGACAAGGTCAGGTGGTCGGAGGAAGCGTTGTGGGTGAGCTTACGGCGGCTGGACCGGTGATTGTAATTGCAGCTTCGTTTACTAATGTTGCTTATGAGAGACTTCCTTTAGAAGAAGATGAGCAGCAGCAACAGCTGGGAGGGGGATCTAACGGCGGAGGTAATTTGTTTCCGGAGGTTGCTGCTGGAGGAGGAGGAGGACTTCCGTTCTTTAATCTACCGATGAATATGCAACCAAATGTGCAACTTCCGGTGGAAGGTTGGCCGGGGAATTCCAGTGGAAGAGGTCCTTTCTGATGTGTATATATTAATAATCATTATATATATACCGGCGGAGGAGCTTTTCCGGCGAAGATTTGCGAGAGTGAAGAAAGGTTAGAAAAGCTTTTTATGGACTAATGAATTTCAAATTATCATCGTGATTTCGGACATTGTCTTGTTCATCATGTTAAGCTTAGGTTTTTCTCTGTCTTTTTGTTTTTGCGTTTTGTAGAATTTTATGTTTAATCCTTTTTATTTTCTGTGAAACTCTATTTGTGTTCGTCTGCGATGAAAAAAACCCTCAAATCTTTCTTCATATCTAGCCACTTCGTGTATTACAAATTTGATATCGACCATGATAAGAGAGCCGACTAGAATTTGAATAGAGGTTATATATCCCTCATGAATCAAAATTTCTATAGTATTGTTGTCCTATATATAGGTTTGTTGATATGTATATACATATAAAAATGGGTGAAATCCAGGTATTTTTGTGTTTTGGTCAGTGCAATGATTAAGTGCAAAAAATATTTCTGGGGGATTTGGTGATAGAGTTTATGAATTCAATATATGTTTTCTAATATTTTTATCAAATAGAACAATGTGATCCACTACTACAAAAATATTGTTTAATGGATGCTCTTCTTATCTGCTGCTATATATGACATATATATATATATACTAATATACATAGATATAGGTATACATCTGTTGTATGTGTGTGGCATAGTAATAAACTTATATATACATATATGTTTTTCTATGATTTGGTGTCAGTTCAACATTGGCTTTCAATTTCTCGAGCCCTAACATATCGACATGACCAATTCTGTTTTGATTTTGGTCTCGACGAAGTAAACTATGAAACCTATTCGTTTGTCATTGAGTTTTATATTTCTCCGATCTGATTTGTGTCATGACATGTTTTAGGTTTTATTATACTTATATCTGCTATGTGTCTTAACTTGCTAACTATATGTCTATTTATGTCTTTAGATATTGAGAAAGCACACTTTAGTGAAGGTAAATATTTGGATCCTTTAGGATGTGTATTTGTATATTTTAGTTCTTGGATGCAGTGTCAAAAGTTACTACTATATGATTTATATATTTTCAGTGATCTCTTTGTATATTAATGTGTGTTTCCGACTAGTGTGGATGAAATTAAGTTTGATTTGGTACGGGTGATGATTGTGTTTTTCTATCTCGTTTAGTTAAAATCTTTATATCAGATTCCAATGCTTATAATAATCTAACTAAATTGTTAATGATTTTATGGGAATCTCGTATTGGAAGTAGACTTAATAAGATATTAAACTGATGTGGTGTGGTGCTTATCTGTAAGAGAATTTTCTTTTTATTACTCAATTGAGCTTTTTATTTGGAAATTATATTCTTTGAAAAAAAGTTCCTTAGTTATGCTACCTTCCTATTTTTATATTCCTGTTTTAAATAATTAACGACCAAGAGTATATTGAACATGTAATGCGAATGCGTGAGAATATACGGGAAAACGACCAAAATCAACTCTAATTATTTTCATGCGGTCTTTTTCAACCTAAATTATGACCCTCTGCACTTATCAATCCAAACCCACATAAATTTCAAATAACAAACCTGAACTATATAATTGTTAACCAATTTCAACATATTTTTTTTTTGTATTTGTTAATATCGATTAGAATTGCTAAGTTATAATTGTCTGTTCTTTGTGTATGAATCATTCATTTTATTAAATTGGCTAAATGTTACATAATTCATATTTGTTACATTATATAATAACGGATATATGTTGAAATTGGCTAACAATTATATAGTTCAGATTTATTATTTGAAATTTATGTGGGTTCGGGTTGATAAGTGCATGAAGTCAGAGTTTGGGTTGAAAAAGACCGCATGGAAATAGTTGGGATTGATTTTGGCCGTTTTTCCGAGAATATACTTACTAGTTATTTGAGTTTCAAACCCATTGTTTATCATATTACTAGGGAGACTATATTTATGTTTCCACTGTTTATTTTAGTAAACATTTATTGCCTTTATGTTAGCAAGTTTATATGCTTTGTAATTATCCATATACTGTATATTATAGACACATATATATATATATATATATATATATATATTAACTATAATATGTGTTTAATACATGAAACAACTCTTTAGACGTAAATCACATTTTGAAAAACTTAAATATGCATATATACAAGATTTAACATCTCTTGGAAGCAAACCATTTTTTCCTCTGAACACTTGATTTAACTACATTTAATCTTTATTATATATTTTAAACTGACTAAAAATATAATGAATCTAAAGTCTGGTTGCTTTCTATTTAACATGAGTTTTTTATATCTAAATTTCGTTGATACATTAATCTCGAAACTATTGGTCTGTAAATGCGATTAGAGAATTAAAATAGAACAAAGGAAACGTTTATATCTAACATAAAAATAGTTAATGTAAGAATTGTTTTTCTAAGGTTTTGATCTTGCTATTGATTTCTATATACTTTAGGTCATTTGACTGATAATTTCTTTGAAAGCTTGAAGCATTATACTGGTCAAATTAAACAAAAGTTATTTGACTGATGATCTAATTCATATTATTAGACATACAATAATACAATACTTTGATGAATTAATTTGATATCAATATTGACTGATACTTGGAGAATATTAGCTTGAAGTTGTCCAAAGGCACCATCGAGTCGACTCCAACAACATCTAAAAGATCCTTTTATTTTATCAACCGTGCAATTAGATTAGCGGAAAAGACTTTGGTTGTTAATCCAAGCCGGAGGAGTAGAGTTTACAAAAAAAAGTTTCGCAGATAACTCAAACGTTTATTCATGTTGCGTTTTTCTTTTTCCGGCAAGCATCTTCTCATTTTCTTCAATGTGACTAATATGGCTTCAATGACGTAGCGTTTTTTTGTTAAATTATAGGACAATTATATGTTACCTCAAATGAACAAGTTTAGCCGAAAAAGAATATAATGTACAAGTTCTAAAACTTCGAAAGTAAAGTTATGAACTTATGATATTATATATTAGAAGTTAGATAATATTTAGATATGCTTCGTTTTTCATCGGTGATTAATCATCAACATTCAACGGAGAAGCAAAAGAAGCATATGAGATTGGCTGCACAATGTCTATTTTTTTTCTTTTTTCTTTTTTTTTTTACGTGCAATATTTATGGTTTTATTTTTTGTTAAACTTATTGCCAAAGCCTATGAGACCCATTTGAGTGAGTGGTAAATCTGGTACATATATATTATAAAACAGTTCGAGGGACATGAATCATCATCTTCATCACCTGCACATGTACCTACATTTTTACCTCACACGAGAATATTATTTACCCTAGATGATTCAAATAGTACTGCTCTATCGATCTTAACACTGAAAAGTATTCTTCACTATACAAATCAGATAGGCTGAGCAAAACATAAGGCATAAACCGAAATTTGAGCCCTTATCAATTATCATTGTAATCTCAAAAGACGATAAATCTATAAACACATGCATTTGTTTATTTGTACTCCCTTCGTTTCATAATATATATGGCGTTTTGGATAAAAAATTTTGTTTCACAATATAAGTCGTTTACGAGTTTCAATACAAATTATATATTACTTTAATATTTTATGATTATTTATATTATGTACTCTTTTTTATAATTAGTTGAACTTTTAAAAAGTAGATCTTCTTAATCGGCGTGTTTTTACCTAAAACGACTTATATTATGAAACAGAGAGAGTATTAAACAACACATAAAATGCATTCATGTATATTTGGGTTTTAAAAGAGAATCACACACAAAAATCTAGACTCATCATTGTTTTCTATAAAAAACGGATATCTTTTTTTATTTAAAACGTAGACACTGACAACAAACCATGATTTAAATCACAACTGAAAAATTCGAACTCTGGTCTTCCAAACACATTCTTGGGTGTATATTATTTGATACTTTGAGAATAAAAACTATGATATCACTTTATTATTATTATTATCTGTTAAATATTTAGATTGAATATTTTACTCGTACTCTTGTTAGGTCATTCCTCACTAAAATGTAAAATCGTTTCCTATCCCAAGGCCCAAGCAAAGAAAATTCAGGTTCAGACTTCAGAGTTCAGACTACTTTTATGAAGTTTTTTTTGTTAGGCCCATATACTTAATCCCAAGGCCCATTAAACCCGTTCGAGTAAAAAACATGTAGAGAACAGGGTTTTATGATTGGTCTTAAGTTCTTAACATTCTAAATGATATGTACACAAAGAGGCTTATGAAATGCTCTAATTTTCATCATCATCGTATGCAGAGAAGGCTTTGTCTTATGTCTCCATTGACCTTCTTCTTCTTCTAGGCTTTTTTCTTGCTAATTAGTGTTGGAGTCACAGAGAGCACACCGATGAGACACAGAGTCGCCATGGAGCTGAAGTCATAGAGATCTCCCAATGATTTTAGCTCTCCAAGAGCAAGCCCAGCCTGTGTCACAAAATCAAACACATTTTTCGTTAGAAAATATTCATACTCATTGAAACCATAAGATAAAAAAACCAGGAAGATGCCTGAACTTCTCATACCCGGACAGTGACAAATGCAGCAGGAATCAGACCAATGAATGTAGCAAGGAAGAAGATATGGTAAGGAACATCAACAATTGGAGAAGCAAAATTAATGAAAGTGTTAGGCAATGTTGGTGTTAGTCTCAAGAACAACATATAATTCAGCAACCGATCTTTTCTTCTCGCAACCTAAAACAACAAAACCAGCAAAAACTCTTCAAAATTTCCTCAAAATTTTCCATTAAAAAAAGAGCAAGAAGATTGATTTGTTTTGTTTTCCAAACCTGATCTTGGAAGAATACAAGCTTGTCGGGCCAAAGCGAGAAGAGTAAAGGTCTACCGATGAGCTTCGAGAGAAAATAGCAAGAGGAAGCACCAGCTGTTGCAGTGGATACAACAAGAGCCATTCCTTTGACAACTCCAAAGAGAGCACCAGCAAGCAAAGACATGAACACAGTTCCAGGGATCATGAACGTCTGCATAAAAACGTAGACCAGACAATATCCAACAAGAACTTGAACTGTGTAATCACTTGTGTATATCTCAAGATTATCTCTGCAAATCAAAACACTAATTTTAGTAATTCAATCAATTCCAACGCTCAATATGTTAAAAACTCAAAAATTCCTTCTTCAATCTGTTTTTAGGAAAGTAAATCAAATTGGTGAATGAACATTGCCAATATTAGAAATAACCCCAATCTGAGATTAGCTTAGCTTCAAGGCTCAAGCATATACAAATTCCAGAATCCTAAATTCGAAAGTCACGGTCTTTGAATCAAAGCTTGAATTTTACTAAAAACCCAGAAATAATCAATTCTAAAAACAAGAAATTTACCTAAGAATCTGAAGATCTTCGAGATTACGAGGTAACTTGAGGAAACTGTAATCAGATTGAGGCATTGTGAGATAAACGCAAACAAGTCCCAAAAGAAACCCTAAAACGACGCCGGAAGCTGCCGTGACCTCCCAAAAGCTCAGAGAATATATCGGAGTCGCTGATTTCGCCGGAACAACGCCGATCATTGTTGTTTCTCCTTCTTCTCTCTCCATCTCTCTTGTATCGATCGAGAGAGAGAGATAGAAGAAAGGAGGATAAATAGAAAGAAAAGTTAAAAGCTTTTGCTTACACGAATCCTTTTCTCTGTCTCTGTCTCCTCGAAATCTGAATGACGGAGAAAGATTGAATTTGAAGAAGGAGACGAAGAGGAAAGAAGAAAATAAATATATAAAGGAATATTCGAATTTTGATTTTGAAGGATTTGTTTTTGGAATTGATTATGTAAAAATCTAAATTAAAAAATTTAAAACAAATAACAAAACTATTTGCGGCCCTCATGTTTTCGTGGTTTATAAATTTAGCCCCGGAATTTATAGACATGCATGTCGTATACCCAAATTCGTTAACAATTAGGAAGGTTTTATTTGATTATTATATAAGTAAATCATTTATTTAGAGTTGATATATGTGTTAGTCGTACAAATTTTGGGAAATACTATAAAACTGTTGCTTGAACAATGAAATAAGGATGATTTTATAATATAGATAAACACGAGTGCTTAATTTAGAAAACGTAGATAAAAATGAAAATGAGAAATTGAGACGTCCGATTACTTTAAGCAATAAAATTTTTTTTTTAATAGTGCAATAGGATTAATTTGTTTCATTCTGCTTAAAATCAATATATATATATATATATATGTTTATGAAACAAAATTAAAGCAATATATACGTTACATATAATTGTTTCAACTATTGGCTATTCAAACTAAAGGTGACATACTGACATTATCTGTTAATCTTTTTTTTTTAAACATCATATTAATTTTCTTTTTTGATCTAAGTTATGATCACTTTTTTTTTTTTTTTTTTTTTTTCATATCACTTTTTAGCTATAATATTCATAATGCATGTTACCTCTCCAATAGCTTCGAAGTTCGAAGACACATGATGAGTGTAATTTTGTCCGTATTATTGGAAAAGTTTTATGATTGGTACGCATAAGTATAACATAATTATAACCAAAGTTACATGATTCGTGCAAGCTATGGATATGTAGATGATTGAATATTACATTTGGTAATTGGTAGTATATATATAGTCCATTCAAAGAAAAAATCATTAAGCATGCAATATTGTTTCTTTTTATAAATTATAATATGGAGGATAATTTGTTTGTTTTTTTTTTTGGCAGCAAAAAAAAGTAGCACTACTAATTTTACTATATTGTACAATCAACATTGTATTTTGAAAATAGAATTCTCTCATTGTGAGTATTAACAATAAATCTACAATTCATTATTAAAAAAAATGTACAATCAATATATTGATTTGATAATTGATAGTGTGGCGCTTCGCCCACCGAATATGGCAGATGACACGTTTAAACGATACATTGACATGTGAGTTTATTATTGCCTGTTGACCAAAAAAAATTGCCTATGTTGCTTCACGACAAAAGTAAATTACATAGATATATATGAAGAGAATACTATACTTAATAATACTGAATTAAGTCTGTAGAAGTAAAAGATAGACAAAAACTTGAGCTCAAATGATATTATTTCCCTGCCAAAAGATAACGGAAAATTACCCAAGTAAAATGCAATTCCATTCGTGTTATGGCATTGAGGGAATTTATATTATATTGCAAAACTCCAAAAACGTCATTTGGATGGATTTTTTGCTTATGTTTTGAAAAAATATCTAAATTTGCAACAACAAAAGAGGAGACTCATTTGCCGGGATTTAAAGGAAAACAAAAAAAAACATGTCCTTAGATTTATATCTGCCATTTTTTGCTGTTAATCGGCAATTAAAAAATTCAGTCAAACCTGTTGTTGTTACTAGCTATTAATCTACAGACCTAGGTTTACCTCTCTGAAATATCTATCATCTAATCAGTGTCGATGATTTTGAGGAAAGAAACATTAAAAAAATAAAATTTAATTTAATTTTTTTTGTTAATGAAAAAAAAATAAAGTTGAGAAAATTTGGGAGGGACAAATGTATGAATAGGTGAGACAAATGTGTTGTGTTCTCTACTTCGTCTGTCACACAAGAAAAGACAACATACAACGCATCGCATGCACTGTCTTTTAAACCCCGCTCCATTAAAGAGAGCCAGAGAGGCTTTAACTCTAACCAGACTTGAGAGCCTCTTGTTGAGGTCTTGACGATGTACCTGGCTATTCTTACAAGATTTTAACAAAATGAATAAAGATTGGAACCGTTGATGATACAACATTACTATGGTAATCTACAACTTTTACGAAATTTCGGAGTGTGATTAAACAGGTAGGGCTCCCAAACAGGTACGGTATTTGTGTGATCGATAGGACCACATAAGAAAAATATTTATTATATTGTTGAATGATGGAGACCTGGCTGGATTAGAAGATCTGAAACAGGTTTAGTTATGCTTATGCATATGTGATTATGCAAAACAAATACCAAGAAGAAGTAAGAAATTTTAACAAACCAACAAAAAAAAACCCAAGAAGAATGATGATTAATTCTTTGACGTACTAAATTTTTTTCTTAAAAAAAAAAAATTAGTGCTGACAAACTCGACAATTATTCAATGTACTTTTTACCGCCATAAATAATTTCAAAAAACATGAATATAAAACCCGTTAGCATTTTTTTGGATTACCAACTCGTTGACATCTAAGTTATATAGTAACTGCTAACTACATGGTTCAAACATTACTGAAGTAAAGAATTCGAAAAAATAATATAGATATGAGTACCACAAAACAGAACCATCTAGACACAATCCATGCTGTGCTATATATATATATATATATATATATATATATCAAGAAAGCTTTGGTCATGCTTGACTACTCTGTACGCCACTAGTGATCGATTTTGTAACTAAATCGATGTTTTCTTGTGGCATACAGGGAGCCAGGCACGACCTTAAATCTATATATAGTATATATGCATACAAAAACTTTAAATATGAATGGTGGATAGCTTATACGTATATGTCGGTCTTGATTTGAATAAAATGAAACTGTGTATGTATTTCATTTGGGGGAAAGAATGAAACCAGAGAGAAAGTGGCGATTGTTTTTGGTCAAGAATTTGTGGAGATATAGGTATAAGAGGAATGGTGGTACATATATATATAGAGGAGAAAAATGATAAACTTTCTTTGCTAGCTAATTACTTAAAAGAATTTGTGAGATGGAGCAAAAGGTGCATTTTGAAGGCGAATATGAATAAACTAATAACTGAATTTTTTTTTTATATACTTATCTTAAAAGTCTTATAGTTTTTGAATCCAACTTGAAATCCCGCAAAAAAAAGAAGTTTGCTTTAGTTTTAGTGGGCTTAATTAAACTTATTTACATACACCATTATTATATAAAGAGTATAATGTTAGATGGAAATCAAGATGGATTCTCTTTTGTTAAAGGCAATAAAGAGACAGACACAGCGTGCAACACTTCAGGGTTACTTTAGTTTAATTTAATAGTTTCAAGTTGGTTCTGAACTTCTGATAATAAGAAATTTTCATATTATTAAAGATAAAAAGATCGATATATACAAAACAAGAAAAGAGTTCATGGGCAAAGAAGCATCCTCATGATATTTTCATCTTAATCGAATATATTGGCTCTATATAATTTAACATATATAGCCTCAATGGATCTTTGCTTTAAAAAGTAGGATATCCTAATTTCAAATGTTCGATATTAAAGTTCATATGCGATTTGATTTAGATCCGGAACCATTTTTGAAAGAAATAGCCAAATAGATATATTCACGTAATACATAATGTTTGATGTTTTTTTTTGTTTGTCACCGTTTGATGTTTGCTTAGTTCATAGAAAAGGTTTCAATAGTGCATATTCACAGCTTTATCTTTTCATTGGGTCGTGGGCTCTTTCGACTTTCCCTTTAGCTTTCTATAATTAAAGAGGCTTTATCTCTGACCAAAAAAAGTTCTGGTTCAATTTTCCACAAAACCAGCATGGCTTTGTTTTTTTCTTCTTCCAAAGAGATGATTGAACCAAACCGAATAAAAAAATCGAAATATAGTGTTTCTTGCAACCAGTTCAGTTTCACTTATGTACAAAATGACTGAACCAAACTAGTTTTAGCCGAACCAGACTTTCTTCAAAATCTTTGTTTCTTGGAAAATATTTAAACATATGTTAAATTTGAAATTTTGGTTGGAATTGTTACAAACGAAGTATACATATCTGACAGTTTGGAAATAACACAACTAATTGTATTAGATACTTTATAGGAAAAAATGTCGTTAAAATCCCCAACTTATTCAAAACGTTGATTTAAATCCTCAACTCATGACGAAACGAAATAAATATCAAACTTATGTTGACTTTCCAAATAAATATTAAATTTATGTTGACTTTCCAAATAAACACCAAACTTTCATTGACTTTCCAAATAAATATCAAACTTCCGTTGACCTGACCATATTAGGTACGACGTTAAGTGGGTTAATAAATCCTCAACTCATGACAAAACGAAATAAATATCAAACTTATGTTGACTTTCCAAATAAATATCAAACTTATGTTGACTTTCCAAATAAATATCAAACTTCCGTTGACCTGGTCATATTAGGTACGACATTAATTAAGTGGGTTAATAGATCTCGTTAACGGAGGTAATTTTCTGTTAACATATATGTTAATTGATAACGACATTGTTTCATATAACAACAAAACGACGTCGTTTTGTCGTAACGATTGAATTAAATCCCTAAAGTGAATCTTAGATCCCCAAATCGAGCAAAATTCCTAACCCTAAATAGAGTATGATTTGAAACTCGAGATTTTATTGAACAGTTACGACAAAACAACTTCGTTTTATGTTTAGAAGGAATACTTGTTAGTGTTTTGATCAACAAACGAACTCTGTTTTAACAGAGTATGAAGAACAAAACCAAAATGAAAAATAGAGTATGAGAAACTTGATCTTTATTGATAAGATAAAATGTATTACACACAATGATGTTATTGAGTTTGACTCGATCTACTTATACAACACGAAACAACGTGTACGTACATGTGTTAATCGAAAATACACAACTTTACGAACAGACACAACTATACGTACGTACATTCGTGACTCTTACGTAAATAACTAACTTATATGAATACGACTTTAGGTTATATGACTTAGATGAGATTTGATTATAGTAAAACAATACTGTCATTTTTAATTAGCGGGTCTGTTAACAGAAAATTAATCTCGTTAACATTGTCTGTTAACTCACTTAACGTCATGCCTAATATGGCCAAGTCAATGAAAGTTTGGTGTTTATTTGGAAAGTCAACATAAGTTTGATATTTATTTCGTTTCATCGTGAGTTGAGGATTTAAATCAACGTTTTGAATAAGTTGAGGATTTTAATGACATTTTTCCCATACTTTATAACACTTTTTATCATCAACTAGGTCATATATAGTACTACCGTCCGAACTATATTTATAGTTTTACAACTCCACAAAATCTACCAAAAAATCAAAAGGCGTTAATAAAATAAAATTCTTAAGTATCACCCAATCTAGTTTAAAATTATCAATTACTTTTGTATTGAATTAGTTTCTTACCTAAAGTCAGTTTAAGAAAATAACTCTATGTATCCAAAGACTTGCAACAATGATTCACGAGTTAGGGTTTCACTTTTATGTATACAAAGAGTTATTTTCTTAAACTGACTTTAGGGAAGGAACTAATTCAATACAAAAATAATTGATAAATGTGAATCGTGAATCGTTATTCCCACCAAAATGATAAAAGTGGTCGACAGTCGACAACATTTAATTTAGGAGGTAATGTGTTCGACCTTCAATACATATTTTTGTTTTTTCTGTACTCTTTCAATTAATGATAAAATCGTGATTGAGATTTCATTCTATATTCCTTTGAAATTCGATTTCAAAACTCTAAATTTATGTTTGCCGTTGTTTTTTTTCAATCTTTTCAGCAAATATAGGCCGCCTTGTTCTTTTTGGTAACTGAAAAATACATCCATTTGCCCTTTTTTGTAGTTTGATTTTTGTTGTGAAAAATATCTTCTACAGATTTTATGTTGCTGTGACACTGTTGTCGTTAAATTTTCCTGCATCCATTTGACCGACGTGGTGACTCAATTGCATTTTTTCACGGCCTTTCTTTTTTTTTTTGGACAAATATATGCTTCATTCCATTAAAATAGAACACAACATACAACATAAAGATCAAAGTTTAAAAAACAGCAAGGTAAGGCAATCCCCCAAGCCAATACAACAAAGAGATAAAAATATATAAGGGTCATCGAAATTGTGGACTTGAGAGCTATGAACCAACTCCTTGCAAGGGTTTTGGAACCTGTGAGGTCAAGAAATAACGATGCTTCTTCCATGAATACTTCGATGGATGAAAAGATGGCCACTGTCTTGGATCGAAGACTAAGCAGCGTTGAGAAAGCTAAAGCTGGGAACCTCACCGGGATGAGGATGTCTACCCGAAGGAGAGCTTTGCCAAGGGTTTGAACAGGGTTAAGAATGCTCTGTCTGAAGATGGTTATAGGGTTGGTTGCGGTCTTAGGCTCAGGTGAGAAACTCTTGAAAATGTTGTGGTAACCCCCACTACATTGAATGGGGATCATAATGCCACTAGTCTTCAGGTTCTTAAGTGGGAACTTCAACAAGTTGATGAGAGGCAGTTTAACGGGCTCATGAATCAGTCGAGTTGATGAAGGGAGCATGAAGACACATCGGTAACCACAGTTCCGTATGGACTGGATCATAATGCCGAGTTCATTCAAGTTGCTAGCTTCAAAGGCAAGAGTCCTAGATAATTCTAATAACAGGTTGTCTAAAAAAATCTTTAACCATACTAGCAACAACGGCAGTTTATTATCCAAATGCAGTCTTCGAACAGATGGTTTCATAAAACTACACCGAGATTGACTAGAGGGAGATAGATTTGAGTTCCAATCAAACCTGATTTTTGGTGCTAAGTGGGCTGGACCGGGTTGTTTCCATATGGGCCAAGACATCTCTACTGGAGCCCAACAAGCAAAACCCTAGCTTTGTCTCAGTTGTGCAGATGAAGAGAAGGTCGCCGTCGCTGTACGGACTCATGCTGGGAAAAGGGAGCGATTGTGCTAGGTCTAATCCTTCCGACAGAGCTCCATTTCGTAGAGAAACAAGAAGGTTGCAGATTTGACTTCAAGGGAAACTGGTAGAGACAATGAGCGACGAGGATGGCGAGGGTTTTAAAATCCATAGATCCAGAGAACTTTGGGCGACAGATCTCAGATTCGTCAGTTGAAGAGCAAGAAGACATATAAGAGTCCTTTTTCATCAATTTTGCTGGCCAAGGGCTGGACTGGACGAAGTGTAGAGGATTCGCCGGAGAGTTTCTAGGTTTGATTTTGCAGAGTAGTACTGGACAGAGTGAAAAGTTGCAAAGGGATTGAAAAAGATTATAAAGGGATCGAGAAAAGTTGCAGAAAAATTGAGAGAAGCAAAAGATATCCCGACGCCGGCGAGCAAAAGCTACACCGGCGCCGGAGAATATGTCGTAGAGTGTTGTCTCGATTATTGGGCCTGGGAGAGAACTCTTTTAATTATTAACTTTTTTTTGGGTATTTTCACGGCCTTTCATGTGTAACTTGTCGATGGTTTTAGATTTAATTAAAAATAAAGTTGTTCGTTCAGTCGCTATGTTGTGTCGCCAGCGACATAAAAAAGAACAATTGGCCATACTTGTTTTTTTTTTTACTCTTTCGACTACTTTTTTTTAATAGATCTAGTGTGTGTAAGCATATAAATCAACAAAATACAAGGTTATAATTTGGGTTCAACCAATAGTCGAACTTATTTTGGATCAATTATATCAAACGACGTTTTCTAATCATACTATTGTTCTCTTAAGCTCAAAAACATATATCTTTTTTTTTATTTCGAAAAGCACAACTCAACGTTAATTAAATAGAAATCATTAATTCATTAATAAGCTTTAGTAGAGGGTTTAATCCACAAATAATACTTGAAGATTTTTTAAATACTTGAAGGAATTTTTCATTAATTTTCTGAAATAATTTGAAAAATTGTAGAAATTTTCTCAAATAATTAAATTTAAATAGAAAAATATATATAAAATATAGGTTATAGTACCCTTAAAAATATTTACACAACGGTCAACGCCAACGCCGGTAAAATGTAGGAACAACTTTAGTTTCACTTTGATTTAACTTTTAATTCGCAAAAAATTGTGAAATACATATCTATAAACGCAATGAATTAACAAATATTACAGGAACTCTTTTCCTTCTCGATTTCCCTCATTCAAATGTAATAGAAGAACACGTATAATTTAAATAGCATATCTTGTAATAAAATTATTATACTACTGTAATTGTATGTAAGAAAAACGCGCGTTCACATTTTTATTGTTTAACCTTTTCTTATTGAAAATTATTTTGACTATTTCTTCTTAGCTTGGGTGTTCAGTGTTCTAGAATTTATATATATGGATTCGTTATGTAACGACAACATATAATATGACAATTAGTGTTTGTTTTGCTGGAAATAACCAAACATATACGTCTCCAAGAGACACGATCACGGATGTTTCGCTTTAGTATAGGACACTATTTAGAAACTTTTGCAAACGGATATTTTATGCAATTATGTTGATTTATTTTAAACTCTTGTTTTATTCTATATTTACGTATAGCCTAACCTTTGGTCGTTCATATAAGTTTACAAGTTAACTGATTTTTCCAAGATTTTCCCATCTACCAAATTATATACTTCCTTGTCAAGAAAGTGAGATAAGCGCAGGAGAAAATTTATCCAAACTAACATGCATCATGATTATAGAGTTTTTTTTTTCGGGTGTCCACCAAATTTTTTTTTTTTTTTGATATACCCGATTGGCTGATCCGGTCAGTCTCGGTAGGAACGCACCGGAGTGCTACAGAGTGGACTCACTACCACCCCGAAGGATGGGCTACCACACTGCCTGAACCGAGTTTGGAAAGCTTTCCGACTAATGTCCGGGGGTAGCTGGATCGCCTGTCCACCAAATTTTTGGCATTTGACATATACAAATTTGTTTCTTTTCGTATTAAGTGAAAGCAAAAGTCTCTTTCCCACTCAAATTTGCGCTCAAAATAGCAAAGAAGCAATCTGTCTTATAACATATTGAGCGATCCCAACTCGTTATTAATGTATTATCTATGTGGCATAAGCCGTGTAACAATAACATTACATAGAATTTTAAGGCTTGTCTTATCTATACTCGTTGACAATGTCAAATAAATATAGCATAGGAATTTTATACTATATGGTGCTACTTACATGGAACCCTTAATTTATACGACTGTTTAAATAGTCAACGAGATCAATAGAAAGTTGGTAAGTGTTTGGTTTTAATTTGACAATGTGAAACAAGTGCCTGATCACATTGACCCTTTTATTCATGACAGTAATTTAACGGTCAAAAATAGTAATTAAGTATATAAACAAGATCTTCTGTGAGAGTGAAACCTCATTATTAAAAATTATAGTAAACATTTTCTCCAACCGTGGGAAACTTCGTTTTATGTTTTTTTCTAGTTTGTCGTGATCCTTCTCATTCCTTTGAAGACAACAAACATTCTATTCTATGTAAGATTTTTCCAAGGATCCAGAAGTATAATACCAACTTTATAGTTACACCTTCTAATATAATCCACGTTGTAGTTTATGTGTTCCTCACGCTATCGAGTAAATGTTTGGAATCCTCGAGAGAAGCTCTTTAATTAAATTAATCAATCGAAAAAGCTATCCATTTCCTTTATTAATGTAAATCAATTCGCAATTCTCGTATTAAATAGATCATCCAAATAATATAAGTTTGTGTATACATAAAACAGAAATTTGAGATAACCTATACTAAAGAGAGTTTCACGTAGTTTTTTAATAACATTTTAACGTTAAAAAAACTACAAAAAAATTAAACAAAAAAACAAATGAAATATATATATATATATATATATATATATATATATATATAATATAGCATAGGTAATTTTTATGTGACTTAGAAATTCAGAACGCGGGGCAGGCACAAACAAGGTTTTGGTTACGACGAGGAGGAGAATAATAATCTTCGTTTGAATTCAAACAGAAGAAAAAGAAGAGAAAGAGTAGGCTTTGATCAACCATGAGACATTGAAGCAGGTAGAGATAATTTCTTTGAATGCGGTGGAAGCTATCACTTAATGATAAATACAAGATTCCAATTTTGATGAACTTTGCAATGAGAACATAATTTTGCTTTTTAATTAAATATTACTTATATATACCCTTCAAGAAAAGTAGTTAACAAGTTTAATTTATAATCATGCATTTAAGCCAAATTCTTATTTGTAGTTTAAAAAAAAAAAATACAGCAAGTCAGTGACATATATATGGGAAATATTCAAAAATGAGCACATATGTGGCCTTTTGAAATGTTTGCATGTCTGCATGCATGTTTAACTTTTGAAATGTGGCATGTGGCATTTTTTTTATAACAGAATTTCATCAATAAGATTAGTTTGAATTTTCAGATTATGAAACTGTTTATAATTTGTGATTGTATCTACAAGTAAAAGTGTGTAAGAAATTTGGCAAAAAATATTGTATGAGGGAATATCTACATTTTTTTCTAACAAAGCTAGGGCACATATTTTATAAATCTAACCCACAATAACAAAATCCATTAACAATTATTCCTATGCTTTTAATACATTCTTTCTTTGAACGTCATCCCCTCGAATTACTCTTCGAATTTCGAACGCCATGACACATATCATATTATCATTACCTAATCTTGATTTTGTTATAATTATTTTAGTTATTTAACTGATTTATTGAATGACTCATATATTGTAGACTTATGACACGCACTGAAAAATAATATTTACATCAAATTCTGACGAATGCATACACAACTTTACTTTAGTTATGTCATGGCTACTTTTCACATATCTCTATATATACATACAAACTTGATCGTAGGGAGCGACGAAACAAAGAAGATCATATCTTCAAAAACCTTTGATAAGTTAGGGTTCTTGATATAAACAAAATGGGAAGATCACCGTGTTGCGATCAAGACAAAGGCGTGAAGAAAGGACCGTGGCTGCAAGAAGAAGATGATAAGCTCACTGCTTATATAAACGAGAACGGTTATGGGAATTGGCGTTCGCTTCCTAAGCTCGCTGGACTTAACCGCTGTGGCAAGAGCTGTCGCCTCCGGTGGATGAATTATCTCCGTCCTGATATCCGGCGAGGCAAAATTTCCGATGAAGAAGAGAGTACTATCGTTAGACTCCATGCCCTTCTTGGCAACAAGTAAGACTTTTTTTTTTTTTTTTTCCGTTAAAGCTTTTATGCTATTTTGTTAGCACTAAATGATTTAGGTCTTGATTGTTTCAGGCGTAATTTATGTGTTTTGGTTTACATGATTTTCTCAAAATTTTGAAATATAAAACATTTTCAGTTTGACAATAAAATATTTATGTAATGTGCAAACATATTTTATGTTTGGAATATATTATTATTGCTATTATAGAATTCACATGCTCAAGAGTCAAGACTATAGTCTAAATTCAGTTTATGATTCTCTAACCATACGAAAGGTTAATGTTATATTGGTTCTTTTTAGTAACGTTTGAATCGAATTGTATACAGATGGTCGAAAATTGCGTGTCATCTTCCAGGAAGAACCGATAATGAAATTAAAAACTATTGGAACACTCACATGAGGAAGAAGTTGTTGCAAATGGGGATTGATCCAATGACGCATGAGCCAAGAACCAACGATCTTAGTCCTATCCTCGATGTTTCTCAAATGCTAGCCGCGGCAATCAACAATGGCCAGTTTGGTAACAATAACCTCTTCAACAATAACACTGCTTTGAAAGATCTTCTCAAACTCCAATTGATCCATAAAATGCTTCAAATCATAACCCCCAAAGCCATACCAAACATCAATAGCTTCAACGCCAGTTCTGTGAATCCTAAACCGGAACCGGTAGTCAATAGCTTCAATACCAATTCAGTGAATCCTAAACCGAATCCCCCGGTTGGACTTTTCATAAACCAAAGTGGAATCGCTCCTGACGCCACCTCGGATTTCATTCCATCTTATGAAAATGTTTGGGATGGTTTTGAAGATAACCAGCTTCCTGGTTTGGTTACGGTTTCTCAAGATAGTTTGAATACAGCAAAACCGGGTACCAGTACCACCACCGAGGTAAATGATCATACCAGAACCGGTATGATACCGGGTTACTATGGTGATCAATTACTAGAAATCCCATCTTCTGGTTCGATATCGGTATCTCCTGAGACAACCAGTTTGAACCATCCCGGTACGGCTCAACAGTCATCCGGTTCATCAGATCTCCTAGAGGACTGGGAGAAGTTCCTTGATGATGAAACAAGTGATTCTTGCTGGAAAAGTTTCTTAGAGTAAGATCTTTTTCCACATTGATTTATATATATATATATATATATATATATATATATTATATTTATATATGGTAACACAAAATACTTTCTCAAATTAAAATGTTTATTAACAGAGTTTTACTATTAAATCTGCAGCTTAACGTCGCCCACATCGTCACCCGTCCCATGGTAGAACTGGATTTTGTTCGGGTCGTATACTCAGTTTTAAAGAAAATACATACACAAAGATAAATATTCGATTGATATTATTAATTTTTTGTCATTAATTATTGATTTTAAGTTTATATTTCTTTTCTTGTAAAGGAATGTTTGTATTTGTTCTTATTTGGTTTGGTTGTTGTGTAAAGAAACACATTGTAATCCTTTGACCTTTCTATATCTCCCCATTTAATAACAATATTTTGGATCCATCAGTCTAATTATACAGTCAAACAACTCTATATAACTTGATTCACAAGTTTAATAAAAATTATACCTAGGGATGTTTAATTTGGGCGTGTTAATAGGTACAGTCTATGCCTGTTTACCACTGAAGAAAGTTAAGTAAAGATGTTAAATACCAAGAGATGGTATTCTTTTTTAATTATTGAGTTATGATAACCCAAACACACGATTACTGTATTCTTCATACGAAATTATGTTGAATGTTGTATTTTTAGTTTTTTTTTTTTTAGTTTTGCCCAAAAAGCATTATGCAGGTTTGAAATACTTTGATAAAGACAATTAGTTAATAGTCTAATCGGACGGATATTAATTTTCAACATCTTAGAATCGATAAATAATATCCATTTCCAACTGAGTTTTGATGAATTTTTTAGACAGAAATTGATTTAATTTTTCGTATAGTATAGGTTATAAATATGATTTTCTTTAATTTATAGGTTAAATGTTTTGTGTTCCTTTCAATTAGGCCTGGGATAAAAACCCGACCCGAACTTTCCGATCCGACCGAACCCGAAAAAACGCAATTCGGTATGCTTCGGATGTGGGAGATATACCGATCGGAATAGATGAAATTAGGACTTCGGTTTTCTATTCGGTCGGTTCGGTTCGGGTATTCCGATCGGTTACCGACGATTACCGAAAATTAAACCTAAATATAAAAGCCAAATTTTTTTAACCCTAATCTCATTTCATTTCTTTCACTTCCTCGAGCCTCACTCTCGATTTGCGACTGGCGACGCCTCAATCTCGTCTTCCTCGTCAAATTATCAGTCATTCTTCCTTGTTTGTCCTCCGATTTGGTATAAGGTGAGTTAGAAATCCTCTACTCTCTCTGTTTAAGTGTCGATTTCGATTTGGGATTTAGGGTTTCGTTCTTTGGGTTTGGGGCTTTTACGAATCGATGTTATTGCTCAATTTATCATTTCCGGTTGTGTCTGTCTAGGTATTCTGCTTGTCTGAAACTGAAAGATTGAAACCTGAAACCTTAATTCCTTATAATCTCTCTTCTATGTAGATGTCGGAAACTGAAGACAACAACGAAGCTTTTTTGGGTGAGGAAGCTGATGGTGATGGTACTACAGAATCTTCTGCGGGAAGGAGAAGAAAACCCACGACAGAGCGATCAAGCAGTGATGTTCCAAAGCCGAAGAAAGCAAAGAAAAAGCAAGCGCATAGAGCTGAAGTTTGGCAGCATTATATTGAGAAGGAAGATCTTGTAGGTGTAGCTAGGTGTCGGTATTGTTCCCAACAGATTGGCTGTGATACTAAGTTACATGGGACAAGTTCCATGAAGAGTCATCTGCTAAGATGCAAGTTTTACAAGGCACATCAAGATCTTGGTACTCAGAAGGTGTTGGCTGGTGATATGAGGGGTGCAATCACTACAGTTCCTTATGATAAAGCGCTTTTTAGGAGGTCAGTGAATGAGTTGCTTGTTTTGTGTGAGTTACCATTTGCATTTGTGGAGTCTGAAGGATTTAGGAGATTCTGTGCAAATATGCTTCCATTGTACACGGTTCACTGTAGGAGGACAGCAACTGAAGACGTCTTTAAGATGTTTCTTAGTGAAACAGCTAAATTGAAGAGTCTGTTTAGCTGTGAACAGCAGAGAGTGTCTTTGACGACTGATATTTGGGTTGCTCCTACAACTGCTTGCAGCTACATGGTGATCACTGCTCATTGGATTGACAGGGGCTGGGATTTGCAGAAAAGGATTATCTGGTTCAAGCCTGTGACAGATCATAAAGGAGACACCATTGCTGATCATCTTAGAGCATGTCTAGAGGAATGGGGAATTAAAAAGGTATTCACTATCACAGTAGATAATGCTAAAGGGAATGACAAAGCAATTAGGTTGTTCACAGATGCTTGTAGGTCGCTGGGGCCTAATGCATTAGTTAGAGACGGTTCATTAATCCATATGCGTTGATGTGCACATATACTGAACTTGATAGTCAGAGATGGCCTAGCAAAGGTAAATGAAAGCATTGTAGCCATTAGGAATGCAATTAGGTATGTAAGATCATCAGGTGATAGGTTGAAATCATTTAAGTTGAGGGTTGAGACAGGTAAGTGTGGTAGAGGAAGCTTGTCTTTAGACTGTGTGACAAGGTGGAACAGCACATATCTCATGCTAACAAATGCTTTGAAATTTAGAGTTGCATTTGAGAAGTTACTCGCAGAAGACAAGCTCTATAATGACTACTTCCAGGAATCAGAAGAAGAGAATGGAGAGAGTGGACCAGAGGGTGCAAAGAAGAGGGTTGGACCTCCTACTTCAAAAGGCTGGGATGATGTGCAAAGGTTAGTGAAGTTCTTAAAGATCTTTTTCAACTGCACCTTGGCTTTTTCAGCCACTAAGACAGTTACTTCTACAATCTGTTACCATGAGATAGTGCTTATTGAAAGAAGTTTGATTAATTTGAGCATCAATGATGATCAAGAGTTGCGGCTTGAAGCAATGGATATGAGGGCCAAACTTGAGAAGTATTGGGATGGACTGATCAATATGAATCCACTAGTGATCATTGCTAGTGTGTTTGATCCTAGGAACAAGATGCAGTTTGCTAATATCTGCTTTGACAAGCTTTATGGGAAGGATAGTTTGGAAAGTGACCATCTGAAAAGCTCCATTAAGAAGCTGATGAAGAACTTGTTTGAAGAGTATGTGCAGAGATTATGTAACAACTCTCAAGCTGAAAGTACAGGAAACAAGAGTGGAGAAGTTGATGATTTGGCACCGCTTTTTAAGGATGATGATGAATTAGAAAGTAGGGATTCATTGTATGATGAACTGGCTACAGAGACAGTGAATGATGTAGCCACCAGTGAGCTTGACATTTACTTGTTGGAAAAGGCTGTGCCAAGGCAAAAAAACAGATTGGGTATGGACTATGATGTCTTATCATGGTGGAGACGCAACAGCCATAAGTTTCCAGTCTTGTCAGAGTTTGTGAAAGATGTCCTTGCCATTCAAGTTTCTTCTGTGGCTTCAGAGTCGGCATTCAGTACAAGTGGAAGGATTTTGGATCCTTTCCGGAGTTGTCTATCCCCTCACATGGTTGAATCTCTCATTTGCACACAACAATGGTTGAGGAATACCATTCATCAAGAGAAGCTTGCAAATTTGGTTCAAATGCTAGAAGAATTGGATTTCCATGAGTCCTTGGGTACTCAAATTTCTTGTTTCTTATAGTCTTTCTATGATTTACTAATTTTACTTCATATCTTATTGACTTATTTCATTATTTTCAGTTGCAGGATCCAAAACAGTGGCTGATGATGCAAACTTGCCGCCGTGATCACTTGAAGGGCTCTGTCTTTTTGGACCATCACCATGTGTACCCAAACTTGTCTCTCTCTCTCTCTCTCTCTCTCTCTCTCTCTCTCTTTAACTATTAACTCTCTATTTCTGATATTATGTCTTTTGAACTTATGAAATATGAATGTTGTTTGTTTACTTTTGAACTATTGGTAATGCCTTTTGGATGTTGTTTGATCAATGGTGATGAATGATGATATTATATTTCTTATGATTTTTGTTTGTTTGATTGCATATTGATGAATTGATGATAATAGCAGGTAGATATAAGTAGAAATGGTGATTTTTGGTTGCATACACATGTATTTCGGTTTAAATCGGTTAAATTTTGAAAAACCGAAATAACCGGTTTCCGAACCGACCGAACCGAAATCAAATTCGGTTATCTTCGGCAATATTTAAAATTTCACAATTAACCCGAAACCCGAACAAACCGACCCGACCCGACCCGAAAACCCGAACTCGCAGGTCTACTTTCAATAATCAAATATGGATAGATAAGAAGTACAGTTATATATTTATTTTAAACAAGATTTTATTCATATAATGATATGGACCATATGGTGTGTATTATTGTAATACACAAAAATAAAATATTTTTGACGTACTTGTTTTTTCTTTGATTTTTCATCAGTATATTGTTGATCAGAACCCTAACTTTCACTAATACCTTTTCTTTCCTTAGACGGTTCAATTTTTTCATGGGGTTAATGAACTGGGCTTCTTGTTTTTTTTGTTAGCTTACTATTCTATTTTAGGATAAAAGAGTTCAAATAGTTGCATATAGATGAATGATTGGAAAAATTTGAGTGAACATCATTCAACTCATTCTTTTCCAAAATATTAAATGAATGGGTGAACAATTTTCCTTTATAATTTGTATATTTTTCTATTTTTTTTTGTTGAATTAATTTTCCAACTTATTCATCTCAAATGGTTAAAAATGATATGAATGGTCATTCAACTATTTATTTATGGGTCCAAATGGTTGCATATAGATGAATGATTGGAAAATTTTGAGTTAAAAAAAAAAGTTGAACATCATTCAATTCATTTCTCTGTGAACTGGTAGATAAATTGGTTGAACAATTTTTCTTTATAATTTATTTAGTTTTCTAATTTTTTTGGTTGGATAACTTAAATTAAATTTCCAACTTATTCATCTCAAATGATAAAAAATGAGATGAATGGTCATTCAACTCTTACAACTTCTTATTTTACAACTTCTTATTTGTAAAAATGTGTTTTACAAATTTCCATTTGCATATGTTTTTGCAAGGAATGAGTTGAATGATATTTAACTAAATTTTCTTCAACTAAAATTTTTTCAACCATTCATCTTGAGACAACTATTTGCAGTCTATGCACTATTTTTTGTCTATGAACAAATACAAAAAATCTATAAAAAAATAAAATCAACAGTATGTCACTTAATTTCAATTTTGTTTTTAAAAAAACTGATGGAGTAGTTGAGAAGAAATCTTGAAACATGGATCTTGTTAAGTTATATTATCATTACAGTATTACACCTTAAAAGAAAATTGTATATTTAAAACTGGCTTTCTCACATTTCAAAATTATCATCACAGTATTAGACCTTATATCACATAATTTATGACAGATGAGGGAAAAAAAAAAACTCTTACCAAAGAAGATATCAAATAACATGTCTTTGAAGAGTTTATGGAAGAAGTCGTGAAAGAGTTATACCTCCCAACTCACAGTGATCTTGTGAAGTTTAATCATTGTGACCGCAATGGGTGTCATATTTCCTATTGGAGATGGCTTATTCTTTGTCTATATACATTCGAATGAAAAAGAGGTCGATGTAGAATTCTTTATAGAATATATAACTGACAACGTACATATTAACAAAATATTTATAAATGAAAAAGAATTTGTGTGGTTTGTGGGATGAGGAAGAAGTTGGTCCCGAGAAATATTATAATGTCATTCAGAAGAAGAAGCAAGAGAAGAAGAAGATGGAAGGAAAATAAATAAAATTAGGTTAGTGGTTTAAATTTGTGTTTGAATTTATGAATATTTAGGGAGATTAATCAAACAAATTTATTCTTTGTAGTTGTTTATTTTGGAAAACCAAAGAAATTGTTCCTTTATTGATTTTGTATGAAGGGAATGAAAACTTGATTTTGTGTTCTCACAATCAACCGATTATGTTGTTGTTTTTACGTTGTTTGATGATTGTGAAGAGAGCTTAGTAGTAGAGACTTCTTTTGAGGAAATTTCTCGCAATGAGTGAGGAAATTTCTTTTGAGACTTTGCCATTGCCGAGAATATAATTGTATCAATATAATCTTGATCTCTTATCTCTATCAATACAATTTAGTATGATTCAACTAAATTCTCATGAAACAACTTGAAAAAAAGCTGAAAAAGCTGAGCACTGAATTTCAGTTTCATTTCTAAATCATCTCTTTTGATATTTTCTGCAAAATCTCTACAACATCTCTACAACAAAGGAAATTTGATGAGGATATGTGTATTTTTTAAAAAGAATCTCACGATTTTGGCTATTTTTATGAAAAACACTAAAACTATTATATATATATATATATATATATATATATATGCAAATTTACATGATTATTAATTTCTGATTTTATTGGGACTATATTTTTATATAGAAATTTCAAAAAACTTATTATCTTATTATCTTATCGAATTTGGTTAATGTTTACACATGCCCGACTCGGGACCGGTAAAATTTATTAATTTATTAATTTATTATGTTTATTAATTTATCGAGGATTAATTTATAGACGTTCTACTGTACTTTAATAAGAGATCAAAAATGTATATATTGATACAATTCTCCTTTTACATTCTACTTTGATAAGAGACCAAGATTTTGGTGCTCTACTTCGGTTTAATCTAAAGTTGATCATGCAGTGACACCTTGGCTGGTTGCAACGATGCATCCACCATGATCGAGCTGGGAGAAAGATAGCTGAAGTAGGAATGTTCAAGAAAAGCTTTCACCTCAAATTGTCCAATAATTTTTTTGTTATTAATTATTGATTCTATAGATTTATTTCTTTTCTTGTAAAGAAATATTAATGTTTGTATTTGTTCAGATTTGGTTTGGTTGTTGTGTAAAGAATTGTAATCACCTTTTGTTGTGTAAAGAAACACATTGTAATCACCTTTCTATCAGTCCCCTATTTAATAACAATATTTTGGACCAATATATACGAGCAGTCTAATGATACAACTCTATGGAACATTGGTCGATTACAGAAACATAACTTGATTCACAAGTTTAATAAAAAATCCACCTATTCATTAATAAGGAAACATATAAAAATGTCAATCTCTCGATATTTCTAACAAAAAGAGTAACAAAGAAAAAGCAGGCACAAAAATGGAGGAAGAAGAGAAAAACCCTAGTTCGATCGACATAGTTGCAGATCTACTGGAAGATATATTCCTTCAACTTCCCTTAAATTCCATTCTGTTGAAATAACACCAAATTGTTTTTTTAAAAACACGTACCATTTAGTATTATAGTGTCTCATATTAAATTTGTTTTTATTAGTATACTATCAAATTTAATATTTATATATTTATTTTAAATCTCAGTGATAGTAGTATTATTTTCTAACAAGAATTTATTTTCAATATTTGAAGATACTAATCTTATTTTTAACAAAAGTTGCACAAAATACTAATCTTATTTTTAAAATATTTTTGATAAATTTTTTAGATAACTGTATTTTTAATATGAATCAATTTTCATACTGATTTAGATATTTTGTGCAAATTAATATGAAACATACGTATTATTAAAAATGAAAAGATACAAAAATATTGACGGTATATTTATTTTTAGTTGATGGAAAACATTTTAATTATACTACTAAATGGAAAATACAAATAAAATAATATCTATACTAGTATTTTTGAAGTACATTTTTACTGGGTGTGGCAAAATACATTTGGATACAATGGATATCTGATCCGTTTACAAATTTTGGTTATAAAATATTTGTTGGGTCATATTATATCTAACTCAATTCATACATCAGATATTTCATATTTAATAATTTAGATATTTAGAAAATTTGATTAAGATTTAAAATTATGATTCTCCTATCATCTTTGTTTGATTTGTTTTTAACTGTTTGAATCATCATATAATATATAAAATAAAATAAAAAATCAAATTTTTTCTGCATATACTGTGATTCGAAATTTTAAAAACGGACATATATTATCCAATTGAAGAAAAATGTGTGTTCAATGTTCCACATTGACTAAAATATTTAGACAATGATTCAGAATCATATCATAAATAAGATCATCATTAATAAAATAAATGAATTTTTTTGGCGGGACAGATTTTTGAATCAAAAATAATAATAATAAATTAAAATATTATTAATCTGCCGCTTCAATACGGATTAAATCCTTAATTTTTTTAATACCACCAATATTAGACATATCAAATCAATCTCATTTTGAAAAGATTAAATAAAACCAAATATTGTCCTTGGTATAATGTTACTTAATAACAATTGTAAACTATAAAATATAAAAATCTTAGAGAATGATACAATTTACAAACTTTTATATATAATAATTAACGTTAATTTTTTAAATTATTACTTTTAGAAAACAAATCACAGGACAAGTTAAGAAATTACAGGACAGTTTAAATTTCGGAATGGGTTTATATGTGAACGAGTTTGAATCAATATTTATAAAATTTTAAAATATCATTAACATTCCACTTTAATACAGATTAAATCTTTAGTTTATTAAAATATAAATGTTTTAGAGAATGATACAATTTGTAAAATTTTATATATACTAAATAATCATTAAATTTTAAAATCACTTCTTTTAGAAAACAAATCACGGGACGGGTTAAGAAATTACGGGACAGGTTATGTTTCGGAACGGGTTTATATGGCGGACGGGTTTGAATTAACATTTATAAAATTTTACAATATTATTAACATGCTGCTTTAATACGGGTTAAATCCTCAATTTATTAACAATTTTCCCGTGGAATGGTATACCGTTACTTGATAACAAATATTTTATAAAAAGATACAATTTGCAAAATTTTATATATACTACTTTAAAAAATAAATCATCCTGCAATGTACTGTGTGTGAAAATCTAGTTTTTAGTGTTTTGTGAACAGTTTCACCAAATATAGTGTAATACCGTTCACAAAACACTAAAAAAAATTGGTGCAGATTTTAGCGTTGTATCGAAGAGTAATTTACACCAAATTTAGTGTTATACGCATAAGTGTGTGTGAGAAAACTACTATATGTATGATTGTGTGTGAGTGTAGTAAAAAACGAGAATGAGTTTCTAGTAAAACAATTTCTTGTGTTTACGTTTAACAAAGAGAGTAAGAGAGAATGAGTGAACAAATCTGAAATAGAGTGGATATTTCAACAATAATATGTATGTATAAATTCCGTGTAGCCTAAAGCAGAGAAGCTCTGCTTCAATGTTGTAGTTTATGGAGTGCTCTGGTGAAGATACGAAGTGTCCGTACTGTGAAGGTCTTGGCACATTTACTTATAATCAAGGTTTATGTTTTATATACACAGACACATTACATACTTAAATCATATAATCATAAATGTTTATTATGAATACAAATGTACTTCTTCTTCTGTATATCAGTTTGAAGTATGATCTTTGCATTACTCTTGTTTCAAAGAAGATATGTTTAATATAGTTAAAAACATAAATTAGCTGGGAGACTGATGAGAGATTCTAGCAAATTTTCTGCAAAATTATATATCAGTCTTACAGAGATTATATAAAAATAGTTTTTTGATGTTTGAAAGGTTTAAAAGTGAAGACAAGACTCTAGACTCTTAAAACAATTCCAAATTAATTTTTGAGATGGAATAGTGACTCTAACAATCCCAATTTTGGTTAGTCAGCTTGAAATTGCTGCAGTGTTCGTCGACATTTAAAAGTTTGACGTAGTTAGGTTGACGCAGGCAGAAAGTGGAACTCAAAGGGACACAGAAAGCTTCAGAATTTGTGAGAAAAATGCTTTGATCCCCGATGTCTTGAGTGTAAACAGCGTTTCCTTCTTCGTCTACCCTGAACACCATTATTGCTTCTGTTTTAATTCTCGGAATACCTTGGAGGATCTCTGCGGTCTTCCTGTACAACTTAACCAAGAAAGTTTCACTGGTGGTTAATGACTCCACCAAGTGTTCGCTTGTGTAGCACGAATCGAGAAGGTCTCGTTTTGTCTCGGACAACTTGGGAAACCGCAAGATCTGGAACTTAGGGTTGTTGCAATGTTTGTGGAGATCCCATGATCCGATGAGGTGGCCTCCAGAACCGGCTATGCGAAACATGTCATCTTTCTTGGAAAACATGACAGGAGAGGAGAAGAAGCAGGGGTCTGTGATTCTGGTGTTGATCCACTTGGAGTTGCTTCGAGCGGGTCTGCAAAAGCTAAGTTGAGGCCCCAAGAACTTGACAGCCACAACACAGTCCTCTTCTTCTGGGAAAGACGAAGACATGGCCACGTTGGTGACATATTGGGTTTGGCAATAAGGCAGGGTTACAAGAGGAGGCAGCGAAATACGTTTCGGATCTGTTTCATTGTTTATATTTATTTCTCGGAGACGCAACACGCCGTCCTTCAACGTAGGTAGCCATCCATTGGATGATCCTATCGTTCCCATTTCCTTACGCAACTCTCTACACAGCTTTGCATCTTTCCCTATCACCTCGTCCCACTCTTTGAAAGAACCGTAGTGATGAACACCACAAGGCCTCCTAATCGTGGCCATTCCGCGATCACCTCCACATGGATCAGCGCAGATCAAGACAAAAGAATGACAATCACTTTGCAACACCAAAGATGATAGGGCATTAGATGGATGAGGAGAGGATCTCACCAGCACAGGCTTCCGAAAGCAGAGCTTCGAGGGCTGATTGAGAAGCAAAGACATGAATAAAGGACGAGAATTAACAAAAATAGAAGAGAAAAAACCTTATTGAAGAATTGATGATCTTCTCCACCAAAACCATCCATTAATACCGATGGAAGACTTGTTACCCAAGTTTCTCATCTCCAAGAATTATTGTTCTTTAGAGAAAATATCAACACCGTATAATATCGAATAATTAATAACGTTCTTCGACACGTCAAAAACAAAATCGTGTAAAATCTCTCTGTTACCAATTACCAATATCAGTTGTTTTTAATTCTAATACTTTCATGTTTTATGAATTGAATATACCCACTATATTTTGCTTAGCACCATTATGAATAGAAATTACGTCGAATCTCTCTACTACAGTCTACAGATGCTACTTTTAATCCTCTAATTATCTAATTATTTAATTTAACACGTTTAATATTTCATTTGAAGTAGAAGGAAACAATACTTTGGAGACTTGACACCAAAAAATATGAACATGCGAAAGCCTAGGAAAAAACAAGCAACATCTCATAAGTATCGACTGTTTTGAAGAGGAAGAAAAAAACGTTGTCACGAACTTGAAGTAGACTTGCGCATATTACAAGATTAGTATACTCTATTGTTTTCAATTTAAATAATGTTTAAGGTTGTTGGACCAAATTAAAAAAATATACTAGCAGTCTAATGAAGGTATGGCCATACAGAAACATAAATTGATTCACAAGTTTAATAAAAAATTTACCTATTTACCAATAAGGAAATTTTAAAAATGTCAATCTCTCGATATCTCTAACAAAAAGAGTAACAAAGAAAAAGCAGGCACACGAATGGAGGAAGAAGAGAAAAACCCTAGTTCGATCGACATAGTTTCAGATCTACTGGAGGATATATTCCTTCGACTTCCCTTGAAATCCATTCTAATTTCGAAAAGCGTCTCAAAACGATGGAGATCAATTCTTGAATCGAAGACGTTCGTGGAGAGACGAATGAGTCTTCAAAAGAAGCGCAAAATCCTGGCTGCTTACAACTGCAAATGCGGCTGGGAGCCTAGGCTCCTCCCCGGGTCGTCGCGGTGCAAAGGGAATGAAGAGATGGTCTATCTGCACTACAACGCCGCACGACCCTCGTTGAGTTGCGACGGTTTGGTCTGCATTCTCGAACCACATTGGATCGACGTTTTGAACCCCTGGACAAGGCAACTCCGGCGATACGGATACGGATTTGGACCCATAATCGGAGTATGGTCGGCTTTCTCTCCGGGAAATTGGGCAATGGGATTTGGTAAAGACAAAGTTACCGGAAGCTATAAAGTAGTGAAGATGTGTTTATTATCTTTCAGTCAAATTAGGGTACGTGATCCTGAGGTGGAATATAGTGTTCTTGATGTTGAAACTGGTGAATGGCGGATGTTGAGTCCACCTCCTTGTAAGGTCTCTGCCGTAAAAAGATCTGTGTGTGTGAATGGATCGATTTACTGGTTACAAAACATTATTGATAGGGTTTGCAAAATACTAGCCTTGGATCTTAACAAAGAAGAGTTCCATAATGTCTCTGTTCCGGCTATGAGTGCCACACAAGAAACCCATATAGTGAACCTTGAAGACCGCCTGGCCATAGCCAATACCGATACTAAGGCTGAATGGAAACTAGAGATTTGGATTTTGGAGCATGGATGCAGAAGTAAAAACATGGACCAAGACTTACTCTATAAGTTTAGAGAATAGAGTTGCTTCCCGGGAAAGGCAGAACAGGTGGTTCACACCGGTGTCTGTTTCTAAGCAAGGAAATATTGTCTTCTATGATAATCACAAGAGACTCTTCAAGTATTATCCACGGAAAACTGAGATTCTCTATCTCTCCGCAGACACTTGTGTTATATCTCCTTTCTTTGAAAATTTAGCACCACTTCCTCTGAAACCAACTCTTCTGTATCCTCATCCGCGCTGGAGATCCAAATGCCCCCTGTTTTCGAGACCAAATGTATTTAGGATCGTAGATATTATCTTAACCACTCTAGTAGTAGTAGGTTCTATTTGGTCACCACTCTTATTTAGTGTCAGACAATAGTTTGGTTCTACATCTTAATATATAAGATTTATTTTGCTAACTCCTTTCTCTTCCTCTTTCGGTTCTTATCTTGCCTTGTGACACAAGCAGATTTGGTTACCTTAATCCATTATATTTGAAAAGCATTCACAAATCACAACAAACCCACTAATACTTTCGTTCACAAATCCTTAAAACAGATCTTTAGTTGGAACAGTGGCGGTTGAACCGGTTTGATCAGAGGTAGTTGTGTTCGTGGCGGCAAGACCCTCAAGCATTCTGATTATCTCCGCCGTATCGTCTAAATAGTATTTTGCTTTGCTTGGCTTTTGTCCAACGGTGCAAGCGAATATCTCAGCCACAGGAGACAAAGCTGGACCATCTTTTGCAGTCATTATCACCTCAAACATATCCTCATCAGACCGATCATCGCCGACGCAGAGAATGAAATCCAAAAGTTTCCCTTTTTCTTGCATCGTTGTTAGAAGCCTCTCCGCCACAAGACCTTTGTTCACGCCCTGTTTTTTGGATTGGAACAACAAAAAAGTTTAGCTATCAGAACTTTCATTCTTGAAACTTGAGATTTGAAAAGAGAAAACAGACAATAAACCAACTCTTTTAACGTCTGACCTGTGGTTTAACTTCAACGAGTTGTTGTCCAGTCTTGACAGAGACTGGATCATTGGTAAGCACGCTTTCGAGGTGTTCCATAAGCTCTTTGGCTTGACAAGATCCAAAATCAGGATCTGCGAATTGATAATTCCAAACGAGAGCAGTCTCTTTAGTCTCTATTGTTGATCCATCTGTAGTCTCTGTGTACAGTCTCATCACTGGCTCTGCTATTTGTTTCCACTCAAAACCCGATACCAAACTCGACGTTTCCCAGTCTGTTCCATCATTTGGCCTGTCCTCATTATGAACAAAAAGATCATGATGAATTTATATCCAAAACATCCATCTTTCAATAATGAGACTGAAAAAATATATGAAAGCAGCTCCCATGTGCAATAACCATAACTTTATTATCCAAAAGTTTGATCTTTTCAAGAAGATATGAAAGCAGCCGCAAAATGTAAAATCTAACTTTAATATCCCAAAGTTGGATCTTTTCATGTAATCTTATTGAAAATCAAGAAATCCCATACGAAAATCGTATCTTTATATCCAAAAGATTGATCTTTTCAAGTAATCTTGATAAAATTCAAGAAGATAAGAAAAAGCAACTTTACTTTATATCCAAAAATCGATACTTTCAAGTGCTCTTAGTAGTATTAGGAAATGTGAAACCAAGCGTTACCTTATAAAGTAGCCGTGCTCTGCACCCAAACCGAGATCATCACATGAAGAAAACCATTCGGTTAGTGTCTTCCTGTCTTTCCCGCTGACGAGGTACACGATATTCTTGGGATCACTAGACAGGTTGTTCAAGATATTGATTGTTTCACGGCTTGGCGTTGTCCTAATGGACCCTGGCTGTACCATTGTGCCATCATAATCCAACAAAATGGCTCGGTTCTTGGTTCTCTTATAAGCTGAGACAATGTTCTCAATCGAAAGCTTTTTAAAACTCGGATCAAGCGCCACAACTCGAAAGCCTAACCCGAAACCTATCCCCCAACACCTCTTCCTCACATGATCTCCGCAAGCTCTTTCAAGATCTTGTATAAAGCTGCGTGCCCAATACGCAACATCGTGTGTGCTCACATATTTGTGATGCTTCTCATGACGCATCTGCTTCTCTGCTTCTGAAACTATCAATGCATAGTCCATTGCTTCAGTCACAGCATCAATGTTCCACGGATTCACTCTAATGGCGCCGCTTAAAGAAGGAGAACATCCAATAAACTCAGAGACAACAAGCATACTCTTCTTTGCAGCAGAAGGGTCAAGGCCTATAGTCTCGTTGAGTTTCGGATTGCCTTGCCTGCAGATAATGTACTCATAAGGTATAAGATTCATACCATCTCTTACCGCTGTAACAAGACAACACTCTGCAATCACATAGTAAGCAATCCTCTCAAAGAACTGAAGCGGTGTATCAATCAGAACCACGGGTTGGTAGCCCGGCCTTCCAAACATTTCATTGATCCTTTTAACCGTGGCTTCAGTTTCAGACTGAACCTCCTGAACGTCTTTCCCACGACCTCTTGCGGGGTTTGCAATCTGGACAAGTACAACTCGACCTCTCTTCTCGGGATGTTGTGTGAGAAGTTGTTCCATTGCCAAGAGTTTGAGGCTGATTCCTTTGAAGATGTCCATGTCATCGACACCGAGAAGAACTTTCTGATCCAAGAACTGATCTCTTAGCTCAGCAACTTTGGTCTGAGTCTCTGGGAGGTTTAAAATTGACTGAAGCTGGCTGATATGAATCCCCACAGGAAGAATCTTGATACTAACCGTTCGACCATAATACTCAAGCCCTATTGTTCCACGTTTGGACTGATAGGATAAACCAAGCATCCTGCTACAGCAAGAAAGGAAGTGTCTTGCATAGTCAAAGGTATGAAAACCAATCAAATCCGCGTTAAGGAGTGCACGTAAGAGCTCGTTTCGCACTGGAAGAGTACGGTATATCTCAGAGGAAGGGAACGGGCTATGAAGGAAAAAACCAAGCTTTACTCTATTAAACCTCTTCCTTAAGAATGTAGGCAAAACCATTAAGTGATAGTCATGAACCCAAACAAAATCATCATCAGGACTAATCACTTCCATCACTTTATCCGCAAAGATCTTGTTAACCGAAAGGTAAGCTTGCCATAAAGAACGATCAAATCTACCTCCAAGATCAGGCGTTAAGGGAAGCATGTAGTGAAACAAAGGCCATAGATGTTGCTTACAGAATCCATGATAGTACTTAGTGAATAGCTCAGGTGGGAGATAAGCAGGAACACATTTGAAATTCTCAAGCAACCTTTGAGAAACATCATCTTGCTCAACTATATCGATTTGTTCCTTAAGGCAACCAATGTAGACAACTTCCATATCTTCACGCATACCGTCTTTAAGCTGCAAGAGAAGCGAGTCATTGTCCCAACTAAAACTCAATTTACCGGCCGAGTTTCGATGTGATTTAATAGGAAGCTGATTTCCAACGATGATGATTCGATCTTGCGTGACTGAAGAAGGAGCATCAGAGCAGACACTGTTGCTGTTGTTATCATCATCTAGCTCAGATAAGACACCTGTGACAGTTGCTACTCTTGGAAACCTCTTCTTTTCCCGAGAAAACGAATGGAAATTACCAGAAGCAAGATCCAAGAGGTTTGAATAAGATCTTGATACCATATTTCTTGGGTTTATATAAACTCTCTACAGCAAGTGAAGTAGATGCAATGTCTGCAACAGTAAAAACACATCAAAGATCAGAACTTTGATTCATCTGATTTACAAAAGACCAAATCTTTAATCAAAGATCATTCATTTCAAACATTAAGATAAACCAAAAATCTCAGGTAAAGGTTTCCTTTTTACAAAACTGGTAACAGAACAAGTAGATCTCAGACACTAGAACACAAATTAATGGAGACTAAATCTGAAATCAAAAGAACAAATTTCACAAAACCTCAAACAGCTTATATGTAGACAAACCCATGCCGTAGCAACAACAAAAATAAGGAAAAATACCACAGAAAATAATCAAAATGCGTCATAAATGTAATCTCAAGTAGTCAGAAATCATGTTTTATAGTTAAATTTTTTTGAAAAGAAAGCTTAAGCCAGAGCTTACATTGATACAAAAGATCAGAACACAGAGCTCGAGGAAAAATGAAAATAAAAAACAAAACTTTGGGTTAATGAAAGTTGGTCAGATTCTACAGTTACATTAGATGCAAAGAAGATGATCAGAAAAAAAGGAAAAAGGAAAAAAAAAAGCTCACTTTTTTGGAGTAATGGAAGTGAGTGTGTGAGTGCGAAGTCTGCGAGAGAGAGCCTAAAAAGATTCTTTTCTCTGATCTTTCTCTTTGTTCTGCCATTTATTTCTTCACTGTTCTTTTAAACAATAAAAAAAAAAAAGTCTTTTCTTTTCTTTCTTATTTAAAAAATAAAAAATAAAGAAACCTTTTTGTTTTTGTTTTTGGACTTTGGACTTTGAACTTTGCTTTGCTATGCTTTATTTGTTTCTCAAGATTTAACATTTTTGGAAGATTCTCTTCTTCTGCTTTCTCTCCATAGGGCAATAGTCTTCTGGTTTTTATGACCAATTATGTAATGGAAGTAATTGATTGTCCATATGACAATGAGTACACAAGATTTATCAAAAATAATTTTTTCAAAATAAAAATAAAATATTAATACTATTTTTGAATAAGACTACATGCACATTTTTTTTGAACTTCTTATTTTGCTTTGATAATTTTATATATGTTTTAATTATCTTCTTATGTAACTAAATTGATTTTTTTTCTTTGAAAAATATTTATTATACAGGTTTGAATCTGAATGGTGAAGCAACTCAAACATAAACCACTATACTATTAGATATCAGGGTCTATGTGACTTACGTTTTTAAGAAGATATTTAGAAGTGATTATAAACAAACATAGGAGACAAAGATGTATTAAACATATTTAATCACATTCTTTTGTTTTCTTCTTGTACGCATAATTTAAGGTTGGGATTTAGAAATTTGATAGATTTTTTGTTGGGTGTGTAAAATAAGGTAGGCATTAGAATAATGCAAAAAAAAAAGAAAAAAAAAGAAGAAGAGAAATGATACTAATATTGATCAGTGGTCGTTTTCTATAAATAATAATTTGATGTTTAACTTTAATAATTTGTGAGTGAAAAGACAACAAATCTCTTGATGTCTTTGTAGATTGGGGAACACTGGTCGTATATCATTTCTACTACTCCCTCTGTTCCAAAATATAAATGTTGCTAACTAAGAATCTAAATGGTTAAAAGGCAATTGAACTAATGCTGCTATTGTGGTTGGAAGTCATTAATTATAGACTTATAGTGAAGTAAAATATGTAATTAGATTTCCTTTTGAACTTTCTTACCCCGCCGGGGAAGCATTATTC